AATCCAAGATTACATTGCCCATCAGAATCACCACCTTCGGCAGATTTTAAATACCATTCAAATGCCTTTTTTTCATCCTTAGTAGTACCTTTTGGAGTTCACAGATAATTATGTAATTGATAATTGCACTAAAAAAGCTATCGAAGATAAAAATTTTGCTATTGTATATATTTATACATCAATAACTCTCAATACATATAAAACTATCGTATCTAAGCAAAAAGAATATGGATCTCTTGAATTGAGCGAGTCTATCATCGAAGAATCAGAAGTCCTTAGAGAGAACAGTGTGAATATGGAAAACTCTAGTACTACTAATAAAGCGCTCCAATATACAGAATCAAATTCATGGTGGTGGAAAGACAAAGCCAGCGAGTATCTATTACAAGCTGGTAATGTGATTGTAGGCGGTGTAGCTGCTGGTAGTCTCCCTGTTGGTGGTCTTACTGCTGGTGGTCTTACTGTTGGTGGTCTTACTGTTGGTGGTCTTATTGTTGGTGGTCTTATTGTTGGTAGTCTTACTGTTGGTAGTCTTATTGTTGGTAGTCTTACTGTTGGTGGTCTTATTGGTGGTTCTATAGGCTTGGTTGGTGGTAACAGCTTAAAAAATATGGATACTAAAGAATCATTAAAGCGTTCTGATACACATGTGATTAATCGAGCGAGCAAGGAAGATAATATTCCCGTTAATAAATTTACTTTTACGAAAGAAATTCTTCTAGCTGTTCACGAAGGTTTACGTTCTTTCGTCAATTCCGAAACTGCTCATATAATTTGCAGTGCCCAACAGGACGATGGATCCTTTACTCTACATTCATTTATAACTGATCATCTTGGTATAAAATCAGTTGACGTTACTAAATCCCTTAGGCGTTTCGTTGGTAGCCCTCAATTAAGAGAGTGTAATGATTCTGTTTGGCACACGGCTTTTACAATCTACTATTTTAGGGTTGTATTAATGAACCATAAAAAGGAATGGCACCATGTTTATGACCGTGCTAATAAATGGCTATCTAAACAGATTAAAGGCACTAAATTGAAGAAAAAATTATTTTCTGCGTGTAAACAATATTTAATTGAAAAAGGTTACTATCGCCTTTATAACGAAATACGTAAAGAAGTTTTCGATGATTTGC